ACGGCACTTGGCGGCCAAGGCGCGGTGCACGTCGGGTACGCGCGTCGCCGCGCCCGACGTGCACCCCGTCCTGCCGGCTAGCTGTACATCGATACGTGCTCCGTTTTGCGCGGATGCCACAGCCGAAACCGGCACGTACAAAACCACGCCTGGTCGCTGGCGAAGTGTGGCTCTGCATGTGCTGGATGCCTCGAGCGGGGCGAGCACCGTGCAGACCGGCACTCAGCGACAAGGGCGGGGTACAGGTCGGGCGCGTCGCCGCGCCCCCCGGCAGAGTCACGGGGGGCGCGGCGACGCGCAAATCCCACCAGCCCTCCGGGCGGTGGCGGCTTAACGAGCTCCTTCCTCCTTCCCCATAAGAGGCTCCTGGAGGCTCCAGGAAGCCCCAGGAGCTTTCAGGAGGCCCCAGGAGGCCCCTGGCTCATGCGCAGAGACGCGCTCGTACTACTGAGACTCTTTCACACTCCAACTCAGTCACAATCAGATTCACTCCCAAACCGTGATTACTCAAGCCTGCTTTTACTCGAAAACTCTTGCGCCTAGACACTCACGGCGGACAGGTTCATGCTAATAGATGCACATATAAGAAGCTCCACGCAATGCATAATTATTTTCAGCTATTGCTGGGGCCCCAGTCATTCAATAATGTCGCCGAAATTAAATTAGTTACCCCCTATTGGCGTCGTCGTCCAGCTGCGACGGCGGCAGGCGGCGGCGCGCCCCGAGCCTCCGCCGCATCCAGCAGTGCGCCCACCGGCAGCACGAAGAGGTGGCCACCGGCCCTGCTCGCCAGAACGCAATACAGCCAAAACGTGTAGAATGAAGGACGCGAGACCCTTGTAGGCCGAAGTTGGGATTATTTGGGCGGCGGGCAACCAGTGAAAACGGCAAAGGACGGGCCGCAGAGGCAAGGACACAAGTGCACCCGAGATGAAGGCGCGCGTCCTTACTAGGCGCGTTGACTGTGCGGTGGGGCTTTAGCTAAGGAGTCCAGGGTCTGGAAGATTGTGATCACCAATTAAGGCTTGGCCATGGGTATCACCGCCGCCCTCATCAGAGAAGGAAGCCTCCAGGGTCTGAACCCTCCTGGGCACATCCCTTAACGAACGCCCTCGCCGTACATAGCGACAGTAGTCGTTGAGGGCCTCAAGTTTCTGTTGTCCCTCGACTCCCGAACTCAGAGGAGGGCGAGTCGAGACGACGGTAGTTCAAGGCTTTTCGGAGTTCGAGGATTCGGAGCGTTGTCGTTGGTTCTCGGTGGCTTTCCAGCCTCGGAATGCCTTTCAGCAGCTGCACCTCGCAGAGGGCGATCCAGGGTTTGCCCGGATCGTCCCGAGCTGCCGCTGGAGGCACGAGAGCTAGAACCCGAAGACCACCAGGGGCAACGTTCGATGGGGACTGTCAGAGGAGCGCGGGTTTGAAACAATGTTCGTTGGCCTGCGGGGGGGACACCCTCGACTTCGGACCCGCCGTGCTTTGGTCGATTTTCTGACTCAAGATTATGTCGGAAATGCACCCCGAACGATGCGAACATGTAGGACGGAGATTTCCCGCCTCAGGAAGGTAGGGCAGATATTTCCACTAAGATATGCCGGAAACAACGACGGCAAAGCAGGGCAGAAATCGGCATCAGAAGAGCTTAAAAAAAGGGCGGCAATATCCACACTGCCTACGAAACCGTCCAAAGTACAACGGATCTGGGGTCAGGGTCGCGCTCAATCCTCCACGGGTTCTCCAAGTTTCTCTGGACATCTTTGAAAGGAGTTACCTTTCGCAACGTTTACTCTGACTTCGGATCCGCCGTATTTTGAAATATTTCGCAAGTAGGGCCGCAATTCCCGCCCTACCGTTCAAGCTGCTCTGATGTCGATCGCCGCCCCAGTTTGCAGTCGCTGTTTCCGCCGTACTTTTGCGGAGCTGTCCGCCTTCTCTGAGGCGGGCGTTCCCGCTGTACTTTTTCGCACTGTCAGTGGTGCATTATCGACACGTGTCCCAATCGGACAATCAACCAGAGTACGGCGGACTCGAAGTCAGGGCGTTGAAGGCTCACCGACTTCTGCCGTCCCTCGACTCGCGCTGTGGATCCTCCGGGAGTTCTCCAGACTTCCCTGGACACCAGTGGAATGACTTACATGTCGCAGGATTGCGCCTTACAGTTTTTTGTTTTAGCTAACTTAGTTTTGTTTTGTTTTGTTAACACCCCGTTCCTCAGTTTTGTTAACTTGCTCATGGTGTGGGTGTCCAGCTGGTGGGGCTGGGATGCTGTATAATACTTCGCAGTGGCTGTAAGTGAGGAATAAAACGCCTCTCAAATGCAACCGCCGTTTTTCCGCCAGTGCTTGAGAAGGAAAAAAAAAGGATTGCGCCTTAAAGTGAGATGGCTTGAACCCCCGCAAGTCGATCTGAGCAGAGTCCCCAAGCCCTTCGGGGCAATATCATATAGGCCAGGGTGACCGCTGGTGCGCGGCTGGCCGCTCGTCGCGTGCGATGCGGCAGCGTC